TAATATTAATAAAAATTAAATGTCTTAGATTAGTTTAGCTTGGCTAGAAACACTAAGACACAAAGCCCGGACGGAGGCAGGGGCCTCACAATGCCTCCAGTGATGTCTCGCCTGGCCCCTCCTCTGCACGTGGTCAATCAGAATTGAAAATCCTGTGCTGATTTCATTCGCTGGAATTTTTAAGCAGGTCAGGAAGAAAGATGTTATTGAAAGGAAAAGTCTCATCTAAATAAGAAAGGAGCACGTGGCCATCTGGTCTTAGCTATACATATAAAAAGTTATTTCAGCTGAGCTGCAGGCTTCGTGTTTAAAAGGATGTGCCAAAAAAACCAACCCCAAATCTGTTTACGATAAAACATCCCAAATGTTTCTTTTTAAACTTCCAAATATGCAATACACAGTTCGTTTCCTATCTGAGATTCATGAGCCCATTTGACCCCAGCGCCTCACTGAGCTTGACTGAGTTTCAGACAGTGAGACATTTAATCACTTTCCCAACACTTTGCCTACGTGGGGTGTCAACAGCATCGTGTGGCTTTTGAAATTTGTGAAAACAAGTTGGCTAGTTTTCCTCTCCGATTAATTTTGACTGTTGTCTGCATGTAGGCTGGGGTTGGATAAAATCTCAAGCATGAAGCAGCCAAACCAGTTTCCCTTCTTTTCTCCTCTGACTCCTGTGTCCTCAGCACAGTGCTCAGAGGTCTCCACAGCCAGGCAGGCCCTGTGCACACAGCTCAGCCTCGGAAAAGCCAATCTCTTTTCCTATAGGAAGATTATGAGTGCTGAGTCTGCTTTAAAAAATCATCCTCATGGTGGAAAGAAATTAAAAATATGTGTAATTTTATACTATGTGCTGAATTAACTCCTATGTTTTTTCATATGATTAAGGAATCCTTTGCTATGAGGCATCTGTACTAATTCCAATATCAGTTTCTAATTACATTTATAAATTGACTATATGAGGATACTTCTCTGCCAGAGTAGACATAACCAGTTGACAACACCATCCTAGTTCATTTGTGTTAAAATAGGTCAATAATCTAGGGTGTTTTAATATACTAGTTATTATACAATAACAATTGTTTCAGATCGTAAAGGAATATTAAGTATGCACACACACATTACTCAGTAAACCACACACATGTGTTTACACATACAATTATAAAGTCAACACAAGCTAGACCAAACTGTCCATTTTAACTAAATCTTTAGACAATAATTGGATTTAGAATGTTCTAAAATAAGGAATGCAAAAATCTTTGTATATCCCTGACATAAGATATTCATATATTCACTCATTGTGTTTGCGTATCTATGATGGTTGTTCTGCCATTTCAAATAAATAATTACCATTGTGCAAGAAGAATAAACTGTACTATAGTAAATTGTTCTTTCTCTGTTACGCTCTGAAAAACCATTTGTTCTTGAATTGGCGTTACGTAGTTCAACTATTTCAATCAAGTCCATTATCTGCTTGTCTTTGAAAGATGCCTTTTTAGCAACCTGTATCCACTTGGAAATGCCCTGTATTGTTCTTACAAAGTAAGTGAAATTTAAATCCCACTGCATTTATTCTTCATCTTGCATGAGAAATTAGAATTTCATTTTTGATAAGAAGTTTATCATGGGACAAAAACTCTATTGTGTGTTAGAAAAACGGTTCATGTAAAAATAGCGATGTGAAGCCCAGGAATTCCACAAAAAAGTTATTTATTAGGTCACAGTAGAGTGCTAATCCGTGGAATGCCACTTAGCTTGCTACATAGCTCACTTTTTTTCTAAGTATAAAATGTGTCCATTTAACCTATATATTTTATTTATTAAAACTAACCTGGAAGAACAAAAGAACAAAACATTTTTTTTTTCATTTGTTTGAAAACAGTCGCACAATTCACTGGCAAAATGAATCCCATTACTTTCTATGTTGACATAGAAACTGTCCTGTTCCTACTCATAGATCTTTAAAATCCTCTGAAAATCAGTCCCTCCTTAGAACGCAAGAATAAAAAAAGCATTAAGAATCAATTTTAAAATTCAAAAAAATTAGGAAGGCAATACTTGGCGTATGGAAGCTAGTCAGTATACTCAGTCTTTCTACATTAACAAACATTAATTTGGATAATAAACAAAAACCTGGAGAGTTGCGAGGTCATTTGTGCATAGACATCCCTTATTTGTGAGTAAAATTTGGTAATATTCTTGCTAAGGGCATTAAATTTTGTTGGATTCAAAGGCATAAAATAATGTACTGAAATATGCACATTACCAAAAAGTATCAACACTTGATTGATGAGCAATTATAGCATGTAGAACCACAGAATTAAGAAACCAATGGAAACACAGTACCGGAGCACAGAAAATGAACCCAACTATCATCTAATTCAAGGATGCAGTCCTCTAAGAGCACACGGAAAGAATGCTGCTTCTAAGTCACTTGTACAACCTTATTCTTCCTTTTAGGTGAAAGTCAACAGTTAAAATGGTTCCAAGGTTACAAAATTACAAACAGCAAATAAGAAGCCCCAGGTCATCACAAATATCAATATTGCAGCATTTTTATCCAGATGATTCCAGAATGCTCACCCTTTCTGTACCCTATTCAGACTGAAACTGAGCCACCTCTGAAAATGGTCAACCAGCACACAGAGAAGGTTTCCTAGAACCAGAAACTCTGCCCAACTGCACACATCTCGATAAACACACCCATACTGCCCCAAAGACACAGCGTGACAAGACAGAGCTACAAATAAAATGGTACTTTCCTGTGGGCGTTGGTTAACCCCACAAACACGTGAACTTCCGATTGGCACACACCCAGCAGACGTTGGTGATTAGGTGATTGAAAATGCTGCCCACAAAGGCAAAAATTTATGTATGATGACATCACCAGCTAACCTGTGCTTCTCGTGATATAACGATATGATAGCCTGGCTCATTGTGTGTGTGTGTCTCGAGTGTGTCTTGAGTAGACATATGTGTGTGAGTGTGTGGGAGTGGGGGGTGCATGTGCTGCATGAGTGTTTTTAGGGCAGGCTTAAAAAAAAAAGCAGCATGATCAGAATTGGCATCTAACCTTCTGTAGGGCTTGCACGAACCTTTCCACAGACCTTTGAATTATTCCAGATTTCATATGGCTTATGTTCATTCAAAAATGCCATCCCAGCACAAGCGAATTATGTTTTGTTTAGTTAGCACACTGCTAATTCAAAAACATCCCAACAGGATCTTTGGAGATGAGATTTTCTCCAGCAAATGAGGCAGTGCATGTGTGTAATATGGTGCAGGGGCTGCAGGATCTTCCAAGACCTGCCTTTGAAAGGAGGAGACGTCTTGGTCTTGAAAGCAGTGAAAGGGTTAAAAATTGAGGCTGTGTAGGGTAAGAGAAAGGGGATATTGTTGTCTTTAATCTTTCCGCAGTATGTGTAAGACTTCCATCCCGGATCTGCACAGAGCGCTGGAATAGGCTCGGCATGCATTGCGTGCAAGCTCCTTGATTGTAGAAGGGGGGAGAAAAAAAAAAAAACCTGGCCAGAGTCCAGACAGGCTGGAGCTCTGTTGATCATTATGTCTAGCCTTCAGGTGTCTCAGCACACAGTGGGCGGTGGTGGGGGAGGTGGAGATAACAGGAGAGCAGACAAAGAAAAAAAAATGGTGTATTTTTAAAAGATTATGCGAAATTGTATGCCCAAGTCCCCCTGAAAAAAAATGATCCTAACATCTTGGACTTTTATAATTAGAATGCATGCTCTGCTCTGGCAGCTCTCTTTAGGCCGTAATTAGTTCTGTCTGGAGCCTTTGAATAATTCCTTTCAATAATTGATGGAGTTAATATTCTCTTAAAAATGAGGAGGGCAATGTTTTCTTCCCAACTCTTTGTTGAAAACATTGTTCGTTCAAAATCTTCATCAGTCTTAATCACAATGGTCAGATTTGCTTTTTGATTTCCAATGAGACTCAGCTTGTAACTTTTTAAGGATCTGGATGATTCTAGAAGTAAAGGCATAATGCATTGCTAGATTACTCTAGCTGCATATTACAAGAAAGCAGTGGCACACACACATTTTCTCCCATTTCCTTCCGATCATCTTACAGGCAAAGGAAAAAACAAAACCTTCCTGATGACCTGCTTCTATAGACAACTCCATAAAAAAATCTTAACCATGGATGCAACTTGGGTGTTAATCATATCTTCTGCTTGCTTACTGCACGAAAATGAAAATCATTGTATTCTTCTAGCATTCTTCCGTAAAGAAGCCTCCCCATGTTCGCTCCCCACCCCCACATCCTCACTCCACCCTAATAGGAATTAAAGAAAAAAAAATCTTTATACACGGAGGGCTGATCCAAAGACGGAAGGCTGGCTTTCCTGTTATCTTCCCGCTGAACACTCCTGTCGCCTTCTGTGCTAGGAGGACTTCTCTTCGCATTTTGTGGCTGAAAACACTGAAATCAATTCAGTCTCTTTTGTTATTGTAAAATTAAAAGAGGTGGTTAAAAAAATAAATAAATAGAAGGAAAGCCCTGGCTTGAAGCCATTGTTCAGAATTTAAGAGCTATTTGCCTCCAAGTGTCCTCGCCGTCTTTCATAGCTAATTATAATAACTGTCAGCTGTCTGGGAAAGTCTAAGTGCCCTTGTCAGTGGAGTCAGCAAAGTTTGCCTTTTATTTTCCTGGGGACAGATCAAATCTGATTAGACATTAAGAGCAGAAAGAAGTGAACTAAGTACAGATGCATGTGCCTTCGTTTCTCCTTAGGAACAATGCAGTTCAGTGGAGCAATGTTCCGGTGTGCAGCCTCCTGCAGCTACCCTGTGGAATGCCTGACTTTTATTTTCAATTCTTTCACATAATAAAGCATGCAACAATTGCCCCTGCAATATTTTCTTGCCGTCTTTCACACTCGCAGAGAAGCAAACGCGAGAAAAATCTCCGCGTCTTTGATGCTTCTGACATAAAACTATTTTTAACCAGCACAGTTCAGGAAAGGAAGGTATACTCACAATTTCAACATGGTTATTTGCTCTAGTTCCTTGTTCCCGGAGGCAGAGCTGCGGCTTTTGCGAGGCTGTCCCTGGTGCAGGTGCAGAATTGTTGTTTTGGTGCCGAGCAAGGCGGAAAAGTGCTTCATAAAGTCACTGGGAGCTGAGCCCCTTGTGTTGCGGCATCGCTCGCTCCTGTGGAAGCTGTACTATCTGCAGTTCTGAATTGAACTAAATTACAGCCCATGTGAAAGACAGGGGCAGCGAGTCATGTGAGAGACACACAGCTATCCTATTGGCCACTGAGGCACAGCTTAGGCATTCTGCCTTTTCCACTATTGGTGAAGAGTTAAAACTGAAAGCGTCTAGATCCTCCTCTGGGCTCAGTTGTCTTTCATGTGTGCGAGAATGACTGCAAGCTTTACAGTGACAGAATTACTTCAGGAAGGGGCTGAAGTCATCTTTCCCAGAGACTGGTGGGAGGCGGGGGGGAAGCTGAGCTTTTCCAAGATTTTTTCCCCCTTTTTATTCCTCTGTCCTGCAGTTCACTCTGTGGTTTGCCTGTCAGGAAAGCATTGCTCGCCCTCAACTCCCTCTGAACTTCAGAGGTGACAGAAAATAAATGATCACGACGTTCCTTTGTGGAACTCAGACGTGCTGTGAAGCACAGACTTTTTTTTTTCCAATGATGATTTTTCACATTTTATGTTGATAATCCAACAGGCTTTATTGCAGACTCTAAACTGATAGGTGGCATTGTTTGCAAGCAACACCAGACACAGAAATCACTTTCTTGAGGCTTCACTGCTGTTTATGGAAATCAGGGAGAGAAAGACAAAAACTCTGGGAAGATTGAAAGGCAATAATACTTCACTAAAAAGGGGGTTTCTGCTGATGGAGGAGAAAGGAAACACAGTTTTCCACTCACGGCTTCCTTGGATGGATGGATCCCTGTTTTGTGATACAGACCATCCCCAAACTGTCAGGTGCTTTTCAGTTATTCCTAGATTATGCATTTCATTTGCATTTTAAGTGTGTGTGAAGATTTATAGGTTTATATTATCTTAGAAATCACCATATCCCACATTTCCAGGGTTAAAGGTGAGAAAGAAGGGCTCTAATACTCGCTGTGTTCCCAGCCCAGATACTCAGCTACGCACAGAAAACGAAGGGCCTTGCACAGCCTTGGCCCTTCCTCCACGCCCCAGCAAGGCCTTTGGTTTTGTCTGGCCAAATCACCATGGCATGTGACGGGGTCAGTACCAATTGCTCAGTGGTGGTGGCTCAGATGTCCTAGCATCACAGCAGGGCTTGGATCTGAACCTGTCTCTGACGGATTCCATGTTTACTTTTCCTACTAGGTATGCCTTCCAAAATAGCAACGGATGTTAATTGCAGATATCTTTATATTTTATGCCAACTAACGATCCCTTCCTCTCGTATCACTCACTATCCATTAGCTGATTATTTTATTATCCCCACTTCATAGATGAGGATATAAGGCTCAATGGGTTGTGATCCACATAACCTCACGTTTATTTTATATCCTGCTATTGAATAAGATTTATCTTTATTTATTTATTGCTGCAACACACTTGAATATTTTAGCATAAGCATAGATTGCATTGTGGTCATCTAATGTGTTTGACTCAGATTCGGATCACATCACAAAGTGACACACACAGGACTGGAAGCCGGTTTCGGAGTTCTGGTTCTATTTGGGCTCCCACAGGATGCTTTAGAAAAGCCTTGCACCCACAGAACTTCTACCTTTGTTGAAGAAACACACTCTTGCAGGGCACCAGTTTAGGCCATAAGCCTGGTGAAAGCTTGAGACACGAGATAGACAAGAAGCCACTAGCCCTTTCAAACGTGGTGTCTAAAATTCCATCTGAGCCAGGGAAATGTCAGAAGTCTTCAGGAACTTTCCTGAACAAAGCGCAACCTGCAGCCTGAATCACACAAATTGAAATGAGCTTCAGCTCATGGTTTCTACTGTTGTATCAATTATTTGTGGACTAGCGGTAATTAATGAAGCAAGTGTGATTACATCTTCGTAGCCGCTTCCAAAAGTTCACAAGGCTGGCTGGCTGAGATGGATGGGTTAAACTAGAATATGTTAAGCTCGTCCTGGGTGGAGTTAAAGAAAAGATTTAGTCTTATTTTCTGAATTTTTTCTCTTCACAAGTGGCACTCAGTTGCCTAAATTATCTGTCATTTTTACCTTGGAGAACATTTTTAGGTCAACTCTTACATGTGGCTTTTTTTGCTATCCATATTTCCATCAAATATGCTTTTTATATAATAATGTAAATATTTTAAGGACGACGTTATATGTCAACATTATTATGAATACATCATAAAGTCTATCATACAATACATGAAGTAAGTGATTTGTTTTTTAATCTTGGTCTATTCACTGGTATTCAACAGATCAGAAATTAATAAAGTTAATAATGCTTAAAGATTTCAAAATAGAGTCCCAAGATATAAACCTGACACTGGAAAACCAGTAGGCAAAAATCATTATAAGATTACGGACTGTCCCCAGACCTTTCTACATCAATCACATCCAGCAGTTGACACTGGCCAGGCCCCCTGGTCACAGTATTTGCACACCATCATCTGCTAAGCTCTTCAGTTCTTCTCGTTGACACAACACTGGACTGCCAGGCTCCCTCCTCCTTTTGAGCCCTGTCAGATCCCACTTAATTAAAGGTTCACAAGTGTTCAACCACCCAACACCTCAGTTCACTGACTGCCTCATTTTTTCTACTGCCCCTATATGTGCACATTCCTTAGAGTCCAGACACTTTTATCACTTGTAAAATTAAGCCATCTGCTGGTGCAAGTGACAGACCAAAGCTAACCCTGTGCTAGCTGACACACACGAGTTAAGTCTGAGGTCACCCCAGACGAGGTTTCTTAGGGAGATTCCACAACTGGATCCTAGCCTTAAACCTCAGCCACAGGAAAAATCACAAGACACATGGTGCAATTTTGGAATGCATGTACTGGGTGTGGGCCTCCTCAGTTGCTGATTGTATGCAGTGCACAGCAAGGCCAGATGCACACAGGACACATGACGGACAGCTCTTCTAGGCCGTTAGAGGATGCAGAGTGCCTTGTCCGAGGATGGAAAACAGAACAGGTTGGATACTCTCCTTGCCAAGCTTTGCGGAATCTGTGGATGCACTGAGGTAGATTACTTTAGCCAACAGACCTTGAAAAGATTTTTCTCAAACCTGGTGCAATGAAACTGACAGCATCTTGGAAATATCAAAACCACTCAAATTTCTTCCCCACACCGAGGTCTCTAAGATGTCATTAAATGACTGTCCCCCATATCTAAGGCTGATATAGTTTGACAAGGTCCTGCCTCTCTTTTTTTCTCCCAGGAGAAAAAAAAAATGAAAGTAGAAACAGAATTGAAACATTTGTCCTACCTGCCTTCATCCACACCCTGACTCTTCCCGCCCAATCCAAGGTCCACATGGGTGTGTATCCACCTCAACTATGTAAGCAATATTAAAAATAAAATTTATATAAAAAACTAAAAAAGTATTATTTAGCTAAAGGACAAAAAAAACAAACAAACCCATAAACAATTAAGCCATCTAACATCTAACCACCATCTTCAATACTTTTAACACTTATCACTACACTAGATTTTCAAATTCTTTGATATCACCAATATTTTTTGTTCCTCAATTTTTTCATGTCTGTTATTTTTTAATTTCTTATTTATTATAATTTATTCTCTAGTACCATGTTTCATAGTCTCCTACAATGGCCGATAACCTCACCTTCTTAGGTTTATTTTTTTTTTCAATGACATCCCTACCCTATCCGACTCACCAGTCAAAATCCAGTTTGTGTTCAATGCTACTTTCCAACTGGGCATTCTAACAGACACTGCATCCAAGTCTCATAAGTCTATGCTGGCTCTGACCCTGAGCTCACAGCAGCCAGACACGAGGAGTTACATGATGCTCGTTGGAAGACCCGTGTTTTTCTGTGCAGTTCTTTTTTTTATCACTTTCATAAATTGTTAATCCAATGTTTTATCTATCCCACTCTCTTGTTCTTGTGAGACTGCATTGCCTTCTAATAATCAGGAGAATCAGTCAACTCTCTGATCTGTGGATTCATTTTTAATACCTTCTCATTACAATGGAAATGTTGCTTTTAACATTTGCCCAAGATAGAGCACTCAATGTGTACGGTTCTTTCTCAAAATTGCATTCAAATATCTATCTTAAAAGGAGAACCAGATTATGTTACTCCTGTATTTAGAATCCTTTGGTAGACCCCATTGCTTTTGAAGCAATACCGGAAAGCCCCTGAAGAGTCTTACTGGGTAATCCCTTATTTTATCCAGGTAAAAACAAACAAACCAACAAACAAAGCATGAAAAGATCTCATTCTGTTCCACAATTCACAAATGATATTACACATTACTTGTACGTGGGCCCCTAGATTTATCCTCACACAATTTTGAATCTTTTAGTAGTACTTGGGGATCACTAGGGTTCCCCATTACCCAATGGTTGCAAAAACTTCCCGCGAGAACTGGTAGTCCTAGGATACAAAGGAGGAAAGGATCACATATCTTTCTTCTTTGTTTCCACCCACATCCTCAGAGGGACTTGGCTGATTTTTTTCCCTATCACACAAAAGCATTAGTCATGGTAGTCTAAAGAATTTCTAGAAGATCTAGAGCTTTCTTAGCTTCTTTCCTTTCCAGGGCTTTGTAAAAGGAAGATCTTCAAAACTTACAAGAATGACAAGAACTACAGAAAATGAGATCGGTCAAGTCCCAAGGCATTCTTGTGTTCTTGACTTTCTATTTTTTTACCATTCTGTTTCTTGCAAGGTGTTTCCGCAGGTCAGTTAATAAATACCCTCGTTCAAGCACTTGTTCAGTCTGAAGCAATCATAAGCTGTGGCTCTCTTTCTCTTCTGCATAATTGCAGTTGAGTGAATATGATGGGACTTATCTTCAAAACAGATGCTAAATATAATTGCCTTTCACATGTTCTTTGCTCCTGTGCCCATCCCAACCACTGTGATCTTTGAGATGCCTCCTGGCAGTCATCTTCTCTCTCGTCTCTGATTCTGTTCAGGTGCTCCATTCAACCACAGCTTGTTCTCTAAATAGAAGCTGGCTTTTAAAACATAAAACACACCATGTCCTATTACACTTAAATAAGAGACTGATAGAATTATGATTCCTTATGAA